CGGGGGGGTAAAATTCCGGGGGTTATAATCCGGGGGTAGAAATCTGGGGGGTAAAATTCCGGGGGTAAAATTCCGGGGGTAAAAATCCGGGCCGTACATTCTAGGTTTTTATAATTTGATGTGTTCTGATTAAACTCACAACCGTGAAAATATATGTTTAATTCCGCGTTTAATCCATCGAGCTGATGTCGCGAAACTCAAAAGTTCGCGGCCGGAATTTTACCCCCTGGTTTGTGACGTCACGTTTGCCCAGGGGGTAAAATTCCAGGGGGATAAAAATCCGCTACCCCCCCCCCCCCCGCTCCGTATCACTCCGCTATTTTTCCTCGGCAAGAAATGTGCTCCACTTTTGAGAATATAGTTCCGAATGTTTTTGTAATTTGAAGTGGTTTCCGCGCCTAAAAAAATGCTTTGAAGGTATTTTCTTGTTTATTAAGATCGTAGGAATGTTTTAAAAACTTTTAAAAGAAAAGTCCAGAAAGTTCAGAAATACCAAAACGATAAACACGAAATGACGATAATGAAAGTTAAATTGTAGTTATAATAGTCAATCAGCTGCTCATAGTATTATAATCTTTAAGTGTTGCCAACCTATTTCCAAGCGTACATGGATTTCGTGCATAATAGAACCACGCTGTTCTGTGTTGTTTCGTTGGAATCCTGATGTGCGGCAAAGTATAAACCGTACGGCAAAGTATAAATATGCAGAAATTAGCTGCTTTCTGTACTATAAACAGTACAAGGAAGCCAACTTTGTCGGGTGACTGTAGGAAAAATTATTTTTTTAAGCTTTTCAAAGTAGTTTGGAGAGAAATTGGGAAATTTTAAGTTTGAAGGTCAAAAATGAGAAAACCAAATTTTTACCTCTAGATCCCATGGTCCGATCAAGCTGGTTCGTGAACTCGATCCTAAAAACGTTGGATTACACATTTGTACCAAATTTAATCGAAATCGAATAATTTTTGCTCGATTTATCGTGCTAATTGATATATATTGTACATGTGTCCGTTAGCAAGATAATTCGAGCAAAAATTACCCGATTTCGATGAAATTTTGTACAAACGTATAAACCTACCACACACACATATATATAAACATAAATGCGAGGTGAGTTGGGGGTGTTATTGATATATAAATAAATAACGTGTTATTAATTCCCTAACAAACGATACCATGTTCAAAGTATCGGATAAAAAATAGCTGAAATATCAAGATTTTTAGTTTTAAAATGGGGTAAAATAAGGCTAAGCTAGTCAGGTTTGCCTCGTTTTACCTCTAAAAATCATGATATTTTTTCACTTGGTATCGTTTAATAGTTTGGTTTCTGTAGCCTAAGTAATTCTTGAGATATGTATTGTTTTGTAAAAAATACAAAATGGTGGCTAGTGGCTAAACGAATTTTTTTTTACCTATGCTAACATGAAAATTTTTGTTTAGATTGATTAGTACTATCAGCCCCTAAAGTTTGTGACGTTCCTTTATGAACACCCTGTATTTGAATTTATTTGAATGTATTTGAATTTGAACGGATGGCGTTTTTGGCCTCTGGAACATCAAAACGAAAAAGTAAATAGGGCCCGGGTCTTCTTCATGGTCTTGTATTGCTAAAATATTTTTTTAATTGATTAGGTACTGAACTATCCATTTAAACATTACGGTTATTTAATTACATTTGTACAATGGGAGGTTTGAAAGGAGCCTTTAACCATTATAAACTTCCCATCCAATGTAAACAATTTTAGCCCAGAAAATAAATTAAGGTCGGGACCATCTCACCAGAGGGTACTAGAATAGTCAAAGGTACTAGTTTATTGGGTTAAATTAAGCTAAAATAAACAAGACAGAATGCAGTAATACAAACAATATGGAAAGTTCCCCTTAGAAAGGAATTATGATCTTAAAGGGCAATTTATGAAACAATGGATAGTTTTGCGAAAGGTAATTCGTCATTACGAACATTTTAAGTATATGGTTTATGGGGGTGCTTGTTTCTTTGAGGAAACGTATTAAAAGACTACAATTACATTATTATGACTGATGACTCCAGCGTCATGTTCTAAAAAACCCCAAAGTAGAACACAATTCGTTAGTTGAATATTTTTACCATCTTAACTTGTTCATTTTAGTATTGGGGAGTCGTAGCTTCAAAAACTCAATTTGTTACAATACAAAGTTATTTGTATAACTAGTGGGCGAAGTGGTACTTTGCTGCACGCGAGAGAAATGTTTACGCACGAGCCGTAGGCAAGTGTGGAAAGTTTTTGAGTGCAGCTAAGGCAGTTTGCACTCGTGTTACACATTATTTTTTTTACAGTTAATATAAATCATATCAATAATTAATCTTTCAAACACTGTACAACACGTTTTTAGGTTAGGTTAAATCCAAACATTGAACGAAAAGGGAAACGCTGCACCAGTTGATCGTAGTCGTAATATATTTAAGTGTTGTCAACTTATTTTCAAGCGTACACGGATTATGTGCATAATAAAATCACGCTGTTTTGTGTTGTTTTGTTGGAATACTGGTGTGCGCCAAAGTAAGGCTTTCGGTACTATAAACTGTGCAAGGAAGCCCACTTTGTCGGGTTACTGTAGGAAAATATAATAGGTCAATATTTGGACGGCTCTATCTTGAATACGGTTGGGTTGAATCTAATAACAAATAAAAAAATAATGTTTTAATGAAAGTGAGAAAGTCGTAGGGGGTTAATTCACCTTTTGGAATTTGAGTTATATCATTTGATTTTATTTATCAACTGAATTAAAAAATGCACATATTTTTCCTGGTTATAAATGGTATTTGTAAAAATGTTCCACCCAAAAGACTTCGAAAAGGCTATTGCTACAAATACAAGTACAAATATTAACTATGAGTCTACTAAAGTCAATTGTAATGGAAATACTGGAGTAAACCATTGTACATAGTGTGCGATGACAAAAATTAGCATTTTTAATTCAATAGAGTACTAACTTTTTCATTTAATTTAATTAATTCATTTTAGTTAAGAATTTAGAGTGAACAATTCCCTCTTTTGGTTTACCATTAAATGTTATGATTTTTTTCTCACCCTGATTTACCAACATGTTGTCCCATTTTCAATAGTCAATTCAATATTAGATGTAGCAGAGGTTACTAAAGACACGGTTATGGATTTTATTCATGTTATATATTTATTTAAGCCTTTATACGACTAGGAGCTGATAAATCTATCATGATTTCAGATCAGAACCATGTCACGTCCCTAATCAGGTGAGCTCTGTTGCTGCTGTGACGGGTAGTCACCAACATTATTTTCAAAATCTTGGGATTATATTTCAATAGTAAAAGACTTGGTAAATTGGTTTCACAATTCATATACCAGTGTCAGAACATTGGGATTTAGTAGACAGAATCCTTGATGACACGTATCCTCCTCAATCGATCGAGCCATTGAACCCGTAGACTCAGCATTAGTACCTTGGAGAGACTGAGGTTTTAATTGACCGAAAGCAGAGAAGGTATTCACAGGGCCCCAGATTGTCTCAGGGGACACTTCGCCTGTCGCCGGTTTTTTTTGAAGGCGACTACTTTATTAATATTCATACTTTAAAAATTTTGATTGCCCTGGTTATATTTAACCAAACTTTTCAAGTCAATGATTGATTGGTATTAATCCTAATCATTTCTTATCATAATTAATTTCATTTATAATTTCTATTAAATAAAAATAGTAACTATTAATTTCCTTTTTTGTTATTAGAACGTGTCAAGAAGAATTATAATTATTAGCGTGTATTTGCTTACTTATGTAGAGCCTGTAATCATTTTATTATCCATCCTATAACTAATTTTATTACTCTTTGTATTACTAATTTTGTTACTCAATTTATTAACATGGTCAATGATTATTTGAATGCTGATTAAACGTTTTTTTACCTCTCACCAAAGTATTTTTATTATTTAACACGCCCCCGGTCACCCAAAGTATAATCATGACAAATTGGTGGAGGCGCCGTGTAACGATCCCCGTACCTCTCACAGTGTGAGACTACCCGACACACTGCCCTGATGATGGTATCTGTATCGAGACCAAAACGTCAGCTTAGTTCCAACGTCAACAACTCACTTGGAAAACAAAGAAATTTACAGTTCATAGTACCGGGTGTCCGAAAAAGAACTGAAGCAATTGAAATGCAAATACTGATACCAAATAAGAGACCATGTTTAATGTTTTATATATGTGTTTAAAGTTTAGCCTAAATTCTCAAGTTTTATTAGAAACTTAGTATAACTCAATATGAGCACCATTAGTGGCCCGGCATAAATCTGAGCGAAATTTTACCACTTCCCAGGTATCGGTCAGTACTTCAGGGAATGTTGCAACAACACATGCGACTTTTCTCTGTTGGAGGTGATTCAGATCCCGAATCTGCACTGAGTAGACATCATTCTTTCCCACCCCCCAAAGGAAAAGTCCAGAGAAGTCATATCTGGACTCCTTGGAGGCCATTGGATGGGCCCTTCCCCGCCGATCCACCGATCGTCGAAACGAGTATGAAGCGCTTCTCGCACACGCAAACTGTAGTGTGGTGGGACTCCATCCTGTTGAAAATAGTCAGGGCCATTCCCCATCTCAATGTCACCCAACGATGGGAAAACATACTCCCACAACATGTCACATTGAATAGCACCGTTTATATCCCCTGAAATACTGACCAAAACCTGAGAAGATGTCAAATTTCACTTAAATTTATGCCGGATCACTAATGGTGCTCATATCGAGTGATACTAAGTTTCTAATAAAACTTGAGAATTTAAGCTTTAAATACATATATAAAACATGATACATAGTCGCTTATTTGGTATCAGTATTCGCCTTTAAAATGTTTCAGTTCTTTTTCGGACACCCGGTACCTTTTATGAAGTGTAGCCGTGAATCTTTTAATCTAAGAGCTAATTAAAACAAAAGAAAGTGGGTTAAGGAATACAATATTTATAAATTACATTTAATTAAATATGACTACTTGAAGGACGGGGCAACGCTATGGACAGAGACGGGGATGACAGAGCCAACGGGGCGGAACCCATTCTCGTCAGCTACGTAAGAGATCTCCACAGGGATACCCTCCGGGGAGGTGTATCTGAAGGAACCCTTCTTGACGATGACGTTGTCCAAGCGGTCGTTGGTTGGGCGGAGCTCCCCGGTCTCCTGGAAGTTGGCACCGTCTGTCTGAGTGTACCTGTAACAGAGAGATCGGGAGTGAGAGAAGAGGTAGTTTTGGAGGGAGATCTTCAGAGGACTAAGTTTTCTTTAAAGAAACCACCTGATAAAATAAAATAATGGATTGATCAAGTTCATTGATTCAATTGATAGCAAAAACATATGTTGTTGATCATGGAGGCTAGTGCTGGTCTCAAAATTCAAACGTAAACAAAATAAAAAAATTAAAATTAGAAAGTAAAGTGTTTAGGTACGTTTTTCATATAGCCTATTAAAAAATGCTATAGATCCCGTAACATATTATCTCCAAATTAGTGTGAATTAATTAAATGCGTTTTGTAAAATAATCAATTTGCGAATCAATCGTATTAGCCGCAAGATAAACTATTCATTCGTTAAATATAAAATTATGGACTTGACATACCTAAAAATAAATCTTAGGTTTGCACCAATCATTGTTGTCATTAACATATAATATCAACAAGGTATGAATAGGATATACAGAAGTAATATGAAACAAATGTATTCCTCGAGTTATTCTCGTGCTTAGTATAATTTATGTGTTTTCTTTTAAAGATTAGACTAGTGTACCTGTTGCTCGAATTCGAGCAATTGCGAAGCATTAAGGGCGACTCACGAAGATTATGGAAATACTCACGATCTACACAACAGTTAGATATAATCAAAATCTTTTGTAAATATCTTATCTTTTCTCAAAAAGCTGATCTTGTTTTTTAGTGTTTCTACAAATTTTTCCCTCTCATAGCCGCATTAGGTTGTCTATAATAACAATTGAAAATGAACAAAAAAAACATTATTTCTTTTCTTCTACTTGGTTGTGTTCTATGACTTTTTCTATGTTTCCATTGTTTGCAAATCGGTTATTTCAATGATTGCTCAAGAAATGTAGCATATTGTTAATTCAGTTTTATTTTTAGCCTGTATCAAATTGTCCAGGATTTCTCGCTTTTTTCCATTGTAATAATTTCACCAACCCAAGTTTCGTCTACAGATGCAATACGCCAAAGAATATCAAGAGTTACTGTGATATTAGGATTTTCCACTGATTTGGTAATAGAACATTAAAAAAAGACACGATGCAGAAGAAAATCCAATTTAAAATCAGAAAAACCCATTGCAAATACTGTAGGCTACTTCATTTTGACAAATTCAATAAATCACAATTTAAATATTAACAGCTGTTTCATTCAAAAGTAGGGTAGAATTATGCATATGGTCGTAATGTAAACAAATCTGAAGAAGCAACTTTAAAGGCTTCTGGGCAGAGCCCCATGGGAATTTACCTCGTTCCTCTTTTGATGGCTCATCTACAGACCAAGACCTTTCTTTAGAGACCCCTACCAAGTTTCTACGCCCAGCCGTTCTCTCAAATTAGCTGTGACAAAAACCCCGTTTTCCTCCATAAGAATAACATGGGATGGGAATTTAAAGGCCACTGGGGCAGAGCCCCAAGGGAATTCACCATGTTTCTCTTTTGATGGCTCATCTACAGACCAAGACCTTTCTTTAGACACCTCTACCGAGTTTCTACACCCAGCCGTTCTCTCAAAATAGCTATGACAAAGAAAAACAGTTTCAAATTAATATATAGATTAGCCTAGTTAATACAGCTCAGTTCATTACTTTCAGCTACAACTTTCAACAAATTTAATTTCAATCCAAACAACATATATTTTGAACATTGATTTTGATCAGAGTTATTAATTAAAGCTAACCAAAGTGACTTAAAATACGTATTAACAGTTAAAAAAAGGTTTGTCAGCAAAAGTAAGTGCACGTGTATATTATTTAGCCTCAAAAGAGTACAGTATAGTTTTTTAAACGGTAAATTTGCGTGACATATTTCAGAATTGTTAAAGAAGCTGTACTGACGTTTTAAGTACTTTGATGTACTCAAAAACGTCTCTATAACTTTTAGTGTGATTTAGAATAATTTGAATTCGCGGTATTGTTTGTTTTTGAACTGCACTAAGACTATTTGAGCTACACTCGTTATGAAAAAAAAAAACTGTTAAATGTTTCTAAGTTAATCATTAGAGCTAAACTTAAACTTTTCAACAGAAAACAAACCCTATTTATAAAAATCTTAATTTTTATAGTACGGCAGATAAATTCGACCATCCTATTTTACCCAAAGACACCAGTGGTCTGCAAATGCTCAATTCCAAGTGAAATCGTTTCTGGACCCCGATGCATTTTGCCATTAGGCTATCAATTAGTTCTTATATATGACTACAGGTCAACATCATGTAGTAATACGAGCAGGGTTTGACCATACCATTAAAAAAAACGTAAAACATGTAAATGGCGTGGAAACACAAACAAAACACTGTCGTTAACCTAAAAAAACTTACGAGTTTGTGAACTGTCCGCGGTCATCCTGCTGGTAGTTCCTCTGAACGATGCTGATCTTAGGTTGAGCGAAGGATGGGGCAGCGGCTGGGAAAGAGCTGAAGGCGGGGGCGGGTTGGGCAAACGAGTTAAAAGCGGGTTGTGGGGGAGGGGGTGCGGCAAAGCTAGGAGATGCGAAGCTTGGTGCGAAGGGAGCGGGGGCCGAGAAAGGAGGAGGAGGGAAGAACTGGGAGTCTGCGACAGCCGCGACGGCGAGGATGAGGAGGGCGATCATGGCGAAGAGCAGACTGATCCTGCGAGAGCAGTCTGCGTATATATATTGGACCTGTCAACAACCACGCCGTCATTAGAAGAGCCCAAAGGGTTTCAGTCGGTGGGGGTGGAAACTGAGCATCCGCGTCCACCCTTCAGATGACTGGCAAACTAACAACGTCCCTGATTTTTTGGCCAATTAAATTGAATAAATTTCTTTGAATTTTTTAGTGTCTGCGCCAGTAGGATTTTTAAATTGAGGACTCGCAAACGCTTTGAAGGGAAAGCTGGCTAAGCCCATCACATCTTTCTAGATGTGTTAGAAACTGAGTCCGAAATATCACCACTGGGCTAGCAACACATCATATTTTGTTATAATTTCAGTAGTATTATACAATGAATGTGTACAAATAATTCATGTTCTTGTATCAGTGCAAGACCAGAGTGCCCACTGGCTGCGAAACTGTACAGCATCTAGAAAAAAATCAGCCCAGTTGCCAATGTTGCCATATACCAACCCCAAAAATCCACGAATAATCTGACCGAAAGACACAAAAATTATATATCTAAAATATTGTTTCTTTCTACAATGATAATCACACCTGCCGTTCAGGACTCATAATATCTATTGAAAATTACAGATTTTAAATTTATGTGCACGAGTTCTCAAGTAACATGCTGGCATTAAATAACTAGTTATATTACAGGAAATGAAAAAGGAGAACCATTTTAAAATAAAAAAGAGTATCCATTTCTCAAATAAACATTTGTTAGCTTAAATATTAAGGCATTTTAAATAACTCACTTTAAAAATCAATCAATAACGTGATCTTCTATACTATTATAATTATAATACTATTATAAAAAAGAGGTGGTTGCTGTATGTGTGTATGTGTGTATGGGAAAAGTAAACTCGAAAAATACTGGTCGGATTGGGCTGAAATTTGGCATGATGATAGCTCACATTCCCGATTAACATATAGGCATATTCTTATTTCAAAAATCCTTTCGGGCTCCGCCCCAGTGGCTCTGGAGTTTCCCATGTTAACCTTATGAGAAATGGAATTATTGAATCTTAACAGCTGTTTCAATTAAACAAGTTGGTTCTGTCCTATGATGTTCAATAGCATTAAAGTTACAAGGATTACCAACAGGGTGCAGCACTATTATTTCTTTTACATTTATGACAACAGCTAATTTGCAACCAAAAGGTGAGTGAGCGTAGCGAACGAACTTCAACCTGGAGGCGAGTTAGCGTAGCGAACGAGCTAACCTGAAGGCAAGTGAGCGCAGCGAACGAGCTCCAACCTAAAGGTGAGTGAGCGTAGCGAACAAACTTCAACCAGGACGTGATTGAGCCATGCGAACGAGATAATCTTGAAAATTAAGAAGTTAAACGGGGCAAAGCCCGCGGGTTACAGCTAGTACTATTATAAAAAAGAGGTGGTTGCTGTATGTGTGTATGGGAAAAGTAAACTCGAAAAATACTGGTCGGATTGGGCTGAAATTTGGCATGATGATAGCTCACATTCCCGATTAACATATAGGCATATTCTTATTTCAAAAATCCTTTCGGGCTCCGCCCCAGTGGCTCTGGAGATTCCCATGTTAACCTTATGAGAAATGGAATTATTGAATCTTAACAGCTGTTTCAATTAAACAAGTTGGTTCTGTTCTATGATGTTCAATAGCATTAAAGTTACAAGGATTACCAACAGGGTGCAGCACTATTATTTCTTTTACATTTATGACAACAGCTAATTTGCAACCAAAAGGTGAGTGAGCGTAGCGAACGAACTTCAACCTGGAGGCGAGTTAGCGTAGCGAACGAGCTAACCTGAAGGCAAGTGAGCGCAGCGAACGAGCTCCAACCTAAAGGTGAGTGAGCGTAGCGAACGAGCTCCAACCTAAAGGTGAGTGAGCGTAGCGAACAAACTTCAACCAGGACGTGATTGAGCCATGCGAACGAGATAATCTTGAAAATTAAGAAGTTAAACGGGGCAAAGCCCGCGGGTTACAGCTAGTAAATTATAAGAACTCTATGATCACTTAATGAATTAGTATTTACTAATTAGTAATTAATAATATTTATTGAGCACGAAGAATACTTTTAAGGAGAAGGCACAAATTAATGTGTTAACTAAATAAAAAAATTATACCCTTTGGCAAAAAGAGTCTGCCTGAACCGATAAACTAGAATGAATAATGTAGTTAGACAAATTAATTGATTAATTAATTAATTTTTCTAGGAACCCTATGTATTTTGCCTCGCTGCATGTTAAGGGTGTTGTTAATTTCCAATAACCGTTTTTTATTGTATTCAGTTTTATCACAATGAGCTACAAGCTTATAAACGCTCACTCATATCTCACTTTTGTATTTCTAGAAACTATGACAAACATTTTGATTAAAAAAGGAAATGGAACAGAAAGATAAAAGTGTAGAATTAACATAGATAATATGGTAGAGATAAGTTCAAAACTAGAATTAGAAAACTTTTAATGTTTATTTCATTTGCTTTACTACTCAATTTACCAGTAAACAAAGAAAAGTTGCTATCTCTGAACACCCCTTTGTGATTCTTTTAAAACTTATGCTAACTTAAGTGTTTAAATTATGTTATTTATTATTTTTGTTTGGTATTTTTTTTTATTAACCATCATTATTGTAACCTTTCAAATCTAACAAGGTTGCTGCAAACCGATTTCAAATATTTGATCTCAAATAGTTAACTAGTTAAGGAAGGGGTGCATGTTACTTCTCAGCCACCCTGTGGATAGATGAAGATTGTGTTATTGTACTTTATAAACATTAATTAATACAACATTCACACTATTCGGCTGATGTTTAAAAGTTACTCGTTAAATCTACACTATAAAACGTACATAATCTGAACTTTATTAACATTTTATTGTATCTAATGAGGGGGCTGACTCAGGACCTTGACTCGTCAACCGAAGCTCAACTAGCCTCTAACCAGGTAAGCCTAAAATGTACAAATAACTAGGTAATACCTGTGTCACTGGTCAGGTCCAGGATGTTTTGCCCAATGTGAGCGTCTGGTTCGTCATCTGCCTGCTTTTAACCAAACAGGGTTCTTCTCCTGTCCCCAAGTTTGTAGCAATCCAGAATTATGTGCTTTGCAGTGTCATCTTACCGATTGCAAAGACGATACTGTCATTGATGATTGTGAAGGTGTTTCCTGAAATGGTCGTGTCCAACTTCAGCAGCCTGCGAGTGAAGAGGATGCTAGGTTCTCAGAACTGTTTCTTACCATGGTTGTACTAAATGGTTTCGCCATTATAAACGGAATGATTGCAGAAGCGAAAGGAAGGGAGAAGTAAAAAAGATTTATGCAAGAGAAAGCAAAGAAGACAGAAGAGCCTGCAAAAGAATAAGTATGCTGGTCATGGAACCCAGAAGTAAGAAGAGGAAGGGTCTAGGGGTTGCTACCTCGTGATTACTAACCCACAAATAGGCATTCCCTTTGATTGACAGACTACTACCCCAGAGGTGGTCACATTAAACCGTTGCGTCTCCCGAGCGCCGAGGGCAAATGAGTATCCCCCAGCGCCGAGGCCATATATTACCAAAGAGCCTGCTCAGTGGACAGTGATGCAGAAGTGACGAGGGTTAATACCTTCTATTTTAAAAAGGTCTCAATGATTTTAATCTGTGAAGCAGAAAAGGTTAGGTTAGATTAGGTTAATCATTCAAGATTAAATGCGAGCATCTCAAAAGTACGAGAGTTGGTAAGCTGAATTAAAAAATATTCATTAAATGTTAATTAAAATTCGAAACGTATCATGTCTGTAATGAAATGAATGTTAAATTAACGTCATTATAGTGCTACAATGCTCAATTGGGCACACACCTTTACCGCAGTTCGTTGCTTTTGTGAATTACAATTCGGCTGTCAAAACTGACAGATTATGCCAGATAGCCTGCTCGGCGCTGGGGAGACTCGGCGCTCGGGAGACTCGGCATTCGGGAGACGGAATCACATTAAACACACGAATAAAAAAAATGCATTACAATATGATAACTATGAAGCCGAATAGTACCATTGAGTATAAACGTAACGTTTATACTCAATGATATTACTTGTTGAGTTAAATGACAAGTTAAATAAATGTGTTGGCCTTAGTCACTAACAAGACTATAAGATCGCACCACTTATCCTACCCTTATCCATCACCCATATTTGGGTTAAAATAGGCACATAGTGGCGTCCCCATCTTAAATAATTGATATAATTGATTGATTCATGATTAGTTTTAAAATGCTCCACACGTTTTTGGGTGGATGTTATTGATGTGTAATCTATCTATTGGAGGATATTTAAAGCTACACAACCAGGAATTCAATACATATCAATGAAATCTCTCAATGGAGTTTTTGCTGTAAGCGTTTTCATACAACAAACACTGCAGATAAAGTGTAATTCAATGTTTTCTCTAAACTAGTTCTGAACTTCGCCCCTAGCTGCTACACTAACAGTTTGTTTTTACACTAGTTTTGTTTACCTGGCTGAAACTCTTAATTGGTAGAAATAAACATCGTGTGAGTCTGCCACGACACCTAACGTCAAAATTAAGCCAATATTAAATAAAATGTTGGATTTTGACAATTTCAAGGAAGTTTAAAAACGTATTTAGACCCAACAATTCCAGCCATTGTTAGTAAATATAATTTTTCTAAACGAGTATTAGAAATTATATTCAACCAACATAGGCTTATTAAAAATAATTATGTCAATTTACATGTTCAAAGGTTTTGACTTAGATGGGAAAGACATATTATTTATAACTTTACTAAACATAGATACTGCTAATTACGTGATTTTTGCCGAGCACTGTATTCTTCCATTTTTAGGATGAACTGATTCTAGCCCTGAACTTGAGCTCTTCTGGTAATGCCTGTAAGAAGTGAAAGTGTAGTATTCTAGGTCACCAACCCCCGGCAAAATTTAGCCAAAATCGTACAACTTACTAGGGAAAGGGGTGATGGTAATATTAACAATTTATTCTTTATTCATTTTCAAAGGCCAAAACTAATGTACACTGATTGCAAAGACAAAAGCTATAACTAAACAATATTACAAAGACATGCAAACAAGATTGTAACTTGTTGTTACAAAGATGCATATTCAGGGTGTCCCGTAATTAAGTACAAAGAATTAAGGCATAGGTTTATTGGATCAAAATAAAATGAAATTAGGAATAACATTTTTTTGTAAAAATTCTTCTTAAGCATGATATCAAAAATTTTTTGTGTTTTAAATTTAATTTTTTTTAACTATTTCGAATATTTTTCTGAAACTTTGTATACAATTGGATAATACCATAATGTAATAATCATTACAAAATATGTTTTGATTTCAAAATAGCAGTAATTTAAAACTGTATAACTTAAATTACAAAAAAAAAAAACAAAAAAAACGGCTGATTTTTTGGAACGATGCTAGGAACATTTTTATTTACCACTAGCTGTTGTGCCTGTGCTTTGCAACGGGAAAAGGACACGAAATAGAAACATTTTGATCTATACACCTGTTCCCTGTTGTATAAAATAGTTACACATCCGCCAACTCTTTTAGAACACAATTCAACCTTTATAAGCTGTATTGAAACATTTATGGATTTTTAATCTGGTAAGTAGTGTAAACCACCATTTTGGTTTTGATTGATTTTAAATCTTGTGTAGGCTGATATGTAAATATTTTAGCAAATTTTCAAATAACATTTTTACACACATGATTTACCTTCCACTTCCCTATTCACATATCTTTTTCTTTATTTTTTACATTTTAAATTTCAAAATTGAAGCTGCATACTAATTATTAATTTTTAATAAACAATTTTTGTAGGCCAGTCTTCTTTAAACTAAATTACAAATCCTTCCATCTCTACTCACAATAAATCATTAGCAAATCTAACACCAGCTGTTATAAACTTTAGAAATATTGGTGTGCCTTATATCAATAGTATTTAGAAATACGAGCTGTTGGCCCGTCCTACGTACGGGAATCGAGTAGTCAATTAAAACTGAATATGATTCAGAACAGCTAGTTTACAACTTGGTGGCCGATTCACACACACTGGCTTTGAGTACAGTAGCTTTATACCACCTTCCACTGCATAGGCCTACTATCACTTACCGTACCTTATTTTACCTTGGCCACTGAACCCTCTAAAATGATCCTGGCCCCCGTTCTCTTCTATCCCCTGCCATTTCTGGATGACAGGAAGACAGGAAGATACCAGTCTGAAGATGCCTTTCATTACTTGGTCTTCCAAGTGGTCGTCTACCTTGTAGTACTCCTTGGAATACACTTTTAAAAGTTGAAGTATCTTCTCTCCGCCATGCAAAGCCTGCCCAGCCCATCCGAGATCTGAGCCTTTTGGAATGTACCCCTTTATCAAGTTTCTGAATCATACAGTACTACTGGGATAGTTATGATATGGTATGAATCGATTTTGGTTTCTACTGACACCCTGCAGCTTACTGGTCAGTTTTCTGGAGACATACTACACCGGTTGACATTTTCATTACGAATAAAATGTGTACTGTATGCAGTCATACTTATATTCAAACATCTAGAAAAATATGTATCAACACGTAAACCACTTAAATTTTAAAGGATTAAGCACTTATACTTAGACGAATTGCATTTATAACAAAACTTGATTATACGTTTAAAATGTTTAGTTCAAAATTACACTTAATCTCCTGATAACATAGATCTTTTACGGTAGAAAATAAACTGCATTTTAAAGTAAAATATTGTGTAGGCAAACTCTGACGATCAATAATTTTGTATACAAAATACTTGTAACATAAACATTTTAATTACAGTTAGAAACCAGCTGTTAGTAAACAGCTGTAGTAATTAGCCTCAGCGAGAGGCTACAGGGGGGAGATCTGCCTGCGTGGTACTCGTTCCGACCGCAGGCTTCACTTTCCTAAAGTGAGGCTTGAGGTTGGAAGAAAGTAATTTTCTTATTTTGGCCCACAGTTGTATAATGGCCTCCCTCAGGACATAAAGAGCTCCAAATCGTATGGCTCATTCAGGGCCGCAATGCAGAAAAAAATGTAAATTGTAAATGTTTTTTCTTTGTAGTTTTTTGTATATTAAATTTCTGTATATATTAGGTTAGTCTAGTTTTAGTTTGACTTGAGTAAGTTTGAAAATCATGTATATGAAACTCGCTTGTAAATAAAGGCCTTTTTATTTATTTATTTATTATTAGTTAAACCACCACTAAAACTACTTTAACTCGTCCGTCGGCTGCTAGACTTTTTGAAAATTAAAACTTAATTTCTAAAAAACTGAAACCCTAAACTAAAATTATGGCTTCGACATTCCCTAGTTCTCAAAATTATCTTTCTTTCAACACAAAAATCATAAAAATCCGTCAAGGGGTTGATTCAGAATCGTGAAATAAAAAAACCCTGTTTCGTTTTAATATATAGGATTAAAGAAACGATATCTATGCTATAAAATAATCTTGTTTTAACTTCATCGAATAGCAACTGCTAAGCTGTGGCCTAAGAAAAGGTTTACTTTCCCCGAACAGTAGATTAATTACTATGCAACCAGAAAAAAGTAAGCATAAGTAGTGCCAATGTAGAGGATGTTAGTATTATATTTCCAAAAAAAAAACAACTCAAATTGATAAAAAAACTTGATCAGTTGTTTTTAAATTTATTAGGACTAAACATAAACTAAAGGAAATATAAACATTATCTGAATATTAGGAACATTCATTAATAGGTAAATCTGTTTTACTGAATCTGATATGTAGTTTGCACCTGTATGTCATTAATAGGACAGTCATACCCGACTGGTCATTTAATGACGTCGACGGAGTCATTATAACAACAGCTCGTCCTAATGACCAAGGTGACGTGAAATTACACAGATGAGAGCGACGTGCTCAAACTTTATATTAGATTCAATGGTGGGCTCTTTTAGAAGGAATTTAAAATTTAATTTTACTGTTTTTTAACTTCTGAATCGGTTGACTTTTAATAAATTATAGATATTTATTGCGGACATTTTCCATCTCGATGGTAAAACACAAAACCATCACCACCATCAACTACCATGGTGTTAACTCACCAATACCAATGAACTTCAAACAAAGGAAAGTATTAGAAATATTTAAGTTGACACTAAATTACGAAAATTGAATTATATAAGTTTTTTGTAATTTTTTACAAAGACGGAAGGACAAATTAGTCATCAAAACCTTTTAATTTATAGAAAAAATGCTTTGCTTTTGGAATAGGCATATTTTAGTAGGAGGCTAAGCATAGGCCTGGGTTGGATCAGATCAAATTTATACTATTGCTTACAAGTAAAAAATGTCATGTTTTAAAAGTTCCCACAAAAATTATTTGTTACGTGGAGAGCAAGGTAGACGTCCTCAAATGTACTCTGCTATTTAGGCCCTACCTCAATATTTTGGGAAGATTGACGTACATTGACAAATTGAATTAATAACAATTCCATACAGCATCAGTATAATACAAATCTAATATTTCCCCACCCAACTCCTAATTACGAAAAAAAATAAGAAAAATCCTAACATTAATTGTTTTGATACGTAAAACAGTCGTAACCAAAACAAATGAAATCAACCATTCATCAAAAGTTGAAGAAAAGTTATGAAAATACTAACGATAGCCTATTAGTCGCGCCTTTAATTGGTTGTTTGCTAAAACTCGTTCGCAGCATCATAACATGGCGCAGACAAAACTAATAATATCCTGAAAGATGAAATCTCTTTCGTGTTGTATTGGTGTTTTAACGTTGTAAAATGGTTATAAAGTTGATGGTAAGGAAACAGCTTAAGCCCGTCTTTGTCTGATAAATATTGTTTGATTAGAGACTCTTTATAATGTCAGCGAGGAACTCAGTATGCAAGAAACTTTGTTTTTCATTTCAGAGAGTTCAGTGAAACAAATCAAAAGGTGGGAAATTTACTATTTTGCGTCCTAATTAATGCTACAAACATTTTTACAAAAACGTGAATTGATTTTTAGGGGAATACCATATAAACTTTAAGTACTTAAAAATATAGAATTAATTTGATTCAACTGATTTAACTTTCAATTTTTACATTTTAATGTTAAACTCAGTGATAAATAAGCATAACTCTATTTATAGTTCAAACTATTCTCTATTCTACTGATTAATCTTTTTTATTAAAGTAAAATAATCTACTACAGTAAATCATGGATTTCCTAAACCTCCGTATTATTCCGCAATATTAAAAAGATGGGTTTTAACTCCATTGGCCAGTTTATTGATATTGTGTTCTAATTTGTTACACATGTCGATCGCCATCTAATTAAAAACCTCAAGAAGAATCTTATTCGTCATCTCATTGGTTTGAAGACACACGACTTTAAAATTACCCAAACTAAATTACTGCTTGACTAAAGAACTTGAAAAGTCGTAAATAAATGTTTTTAAATATAAGCGAGAATATTTTCTGGGGGAGTAAAACTGAAATTCGTCCTAAAACAATAACAGTTTTTATTTTTAAACAATTACATGTGTTATGTGTTATTTTTACTTATCAAAAACTATTAAACTCATTACAGTTTTAAACTCAAGTGTGGTTTATCCCAAAAAGATAATTTAAGATCCATTATATTGGATTACATCAGCAATTCAACTTGTATCACTTAAGATTGAGTTAAAATATTGTAACATGTTTGCAATATTACTTTGAAACCAGCTCTTGTGCTTAATGTAAACTTGACAACCATTTCAGTTGTCATGAGACAATTTCCCCATTTTAAATCTTTCAGGTTTGAAGAGTCAATGGAATGACAGTTTAAACAGCTGGGTTTTCAGGTGGTTGTTATCAGCTGATGTGTAACTGACACATGTCTGATAAGAGCGAGACTTTCTCAGTTATCTGTGATTCAAATGTCACATTGTGTTTTGAATGTGCAATGTTTGGAGATCAATGGAAATAAGGTAAGGTTTATATTTTTACCTTAGTTAATACAACGTTTTAAGTTGTACAGTTTCAACGTATATTTTATTAGTCGCACGTTAAAAACATCCTATCATATCTTTGAATTATTGTCTTCCAGGCCCTTACAAATGCCTTGCATCTAAATAACGGGTTTGTCCTCTGTGCATAAATAGATAAGGGACCATAGAAATCGTATTAAATAGTAATGTGTATAGTATTCTAAGTGGCATTGGACTATGTTTTTGTGATACACATTTTATTTTTTAATATAACTCCGGATAAGGTTAGGGCCACAGAAGAAATGTGCATAAAATTATTTTATAACATTATGGTTGAGGCTTTTTAGATTTATTTACTCAGGGGTTGGTATAATAGAGCCTCAACGTTAAAACTCAAGGTATTACAAGATTGGGTAATAAAACATATTCATCCCAGAATGAAAAATATTGCTTGTTAAAAAATATATAATATTTGGTTCAAAACGGTTAATTACGAGTATACTTAGAATTACTTATCAAAACAGAAAATATTCAGGTAACCTTTACTAATTTTGACACAGAAAACACAGTAGAATGTGAAATTATTTGTGTTTGTAAATGAAGAAGTTTCTCTTTTATAAAAAAATGTGATCATGTTCATTTAAACGTGAAACAATTATTTAACAAAACATTATTCAGAGAAACATTTTTATTTTTCTCAAAGCAGAGAGTTCAATCAATTCGTTTAGTTGGAGAAGAAAACTAACAAAAGGCTTAACGGTACCAAATAGGTTTTTGGTCGTGGTTGTTCGTGTACATAGAATAAAATTATGACCAAATAAGTAATAGAAAAGTATTTTAATAAGAGTTAATTAATTGTGTGTACATTCCTGTAGAAAAACAAAGATCAGACTAACTTAATGCGTTGCTATGACAACGTCATCAGCTGACGCTACACCAGCCCCCCACGGAGAAAAGAAATCTATACATCATTTTGAAAAGTAACCCGTGGTCGGATTTGTCTTCCAGAACGAGTTGTATAAGAATTCGTATATGGAGTTTGACAAGATGGTGGTAGTTTTGAGGATTCCTCTGCTTGTCCAGTCGGCACCAAACGTTTCGTGGGCTCAGGAATAGGACTTTCATCTGCAATAATATAGGCTGGCTTGACCCTGTCCAAAGATACCTTAGTTTCTTGGCCTCTTACAATGATGGTAATTGTCTTTTCGTCACGGCATATGACCTTGTAAGGACCAGAATATGGAGCCTGTAAAGATTTTCTTAAGCTGTCTTGTCGGAGGAATACAAAGTCACAAGTATTGAGGTTCTTGAACACAAACGACCCTGGTTTAATGTGGCGTGATGCGGGTGTAGGTCTTAGTCGATTCATATGCTTACGCAGCCCTGATACCAATTCTTGTGGCTCGTTGCTCTCGTGGGAAGGTATTACGAAAAACTCTCCCGGAAGACGCAGTGGTTCTCCGTACACCAGTTCAGCTGATGAAGCAGTGATGTCCTCCTTGAAGGCAGATCTTATTCCGAGAAGGACAAACGGCAGTACTTCGGTCCAGTCTGATTTGCTGTGAGCCATTATAGCAGCTTTCAACTGGCGGTGGAATCTTTCAATCATACCGTTGGCTTGTGGATGCCAGCTGGTAGTGAACTGGAGCTTTATGCCCAACTGTCGTGCTAGGTCTTTAAACAAAGTCGATGTGAACTGGGATCCGCGATCACATGTCAACTTTTGTGGGCATCCAAATCGAGCTATCCAAGTAGAGACAAACGCTCCAGTAACAGATTCGGCAGTTATTTGATCAATAGGACAAATTTCAGGCCAACGAGTAAATCTATCTATGATAGTTAGACAGTACCTAGAAGATTTTGATAAGGGAAGTGGGCCAATTAGGTCAATGTGGACATGAGAAAAACGTTCTGTAGGTGTATGAAAATCACCAAGGGGAGTAGAAACATGTCTAGTTATCTTAGATCTTTGGCATGAGAGGCAAGATTGAGTCCATTTGTGGCAATCCTTACGAATGGAAGGCCAGACAAAACGATCGCAGATAAGTTTTGTTGTGGCACGTATTCCAGGATGACTCAGCTTGTGGAACTGGTCGAAAACTCTACGTCGCAGTTCTGATGGCACAAAGGGTCTAGGAGTTCCTGTTGAGGTGTCACAGATAAGGCTCAAATGGGTTCCAGGAATCGGAACTTTCTCCAATCTAAGAGATGTAGTACTTTCTGAAATGAGATTTTGAAGTTCTTCGTCTGACTCTTGTGACTTGGCTAAGGATTCATGATCTAAAACAGTTGAAATGGCTTCAACACGTGACAAAGCATCAGCAACTATATTTTGTGAACCACTGATGTGCTTTATGTCTGTCAAAAACTCAGAGATAAATGAAAGTTGGCGTAACTGAGCTGGAGGCAACTTGTCACGGCGCTGTTGAAAGGCATAAATAAGTGGTTTATGATCTGTGAATATAGTGAAAGAAGTTGTTTCCAAGAGATGACGGAAATGCTGCACAGCTTCATAAATAGCGAGGAGTTCTCTGTAGTATGCAGGCCAGATGCACTGTTTGGATGATAGTTTCTTGGAGAAAAAACCTAGTGGTTGCCAAGAGTCATCGACAAACTGTTGGAGGCAAGCACCTACACTTACTCCAGAGGCGTCTGTAAAGAGACCAAGAGGAGCATCAGGTTTAGGATGAAACAATAGTGTTGCTGATGATAAGCTAGCCTTGCATGCTTGGAAAGCTTCTTCTGTCTCTGGAGTCCAGGGCACAGGGAGGGAACCTTTTGAATCAGCGTCACTAAGTAGGGAGTGCAGAGGTGCTTGAAATTCAGCGGCCTTTGGCAGAAACCTACGATAAAAGTTCATAATTCCCAAGAATCTGCGAAGACCACGCATTGTCTGAGGTAACTGGTAGTCTTGTAGAGCAGTGACTCTCTCCTGAGGTGGACGTGTCCCAGTAGATGAGACTAAGTAACCTAAAAATTTAACTTCTGGTACACCAATTACACATTTAGATGGATTTACAACTACTCCATAGTCAGAAAGTCGTTCAAACAACATTCTTAGGTGTTCTTTATGTATTTCTTCAGACTGGGAAAATACTAAAATGTCGTCAATATATGCATAACAAAAATCAAGGCCGTGAATAACTTCATCTATGAATCTTTGAAATGTTTGACCCGCGTTGCGTAAGCCAAAAGTCATGAATGGAAATTCAAACAAACCAAATGGAGTGGTGATTGCTGTTTTTTGGATGTCATCTTCGTGGACGGGAATTTGGTGGTAAGCCTTGGTCAAATCAATGGCAGAGAAATGCGTACAGCCTGCTAAATTGAACGAGAAATCCTGAATATGTGGTACAGGGTATCTGTCAGGAACAGTACGAGCATTTAAAGCGCGGTAATCACCGCAAGGACGCCATCCATTTTCACCTTTAGGCACCATGTGCAAAGGTGAGGACCAGGGGCTTTCAGAGGGTCGAGCAATACCAAGCTTAACCATCTCCTCAAATTCTTTCCGGGCAGCTTTCAATTTTTGAGGATGTAAGCGACGTGGTCGACAGTGAACAGGAGGACCAGGTGTAACATTTATATGATGAACTGTTTTATGTTTCACAGCACGAGGTAAGCCTGGAGGACGAATAATATCAGGGAATTCAGAAAAAACTTCTGCCAATGGCGAAGAGAAAGATATAACTTTAATACTAGTTTGATTGTTGTTAGAAACTATTCCCTCGGCATTCAATCCCGTTTTCTTGTCAACCAAACATTTCATTTTGCAATCGGGTAATAAGTGATAGTGTGAAAGGAAGTCTGAACCTAATATAGGTATTGAAACATCCGCTACCACTAGACTCCAAGGGAAATTACGTCTAAGGCCTAAATTAAGGGTGAGAGGCATGGTACCATAAGTCTTTATTTCACTGTTATTGGCAGCACTTAGTGAATAGCTAGTAGGAAAACGTTTATATTTGATAAGGCGTTTAGGAAAACACGACACATCAGACCCGGTGTCGATAAGGAACCTAGTTCGTGAATTTCTGTCCATCACAAAGAGACGGCCGCCAGCATTTGAACAATCCGTTGCGGCCTCTACGGATTGTTGCTGAGGTTTCCCTGAAAAGAGCACGGAGAAAGACATTTGGTAGCATTGTTTTTGAATTTTCTATGGTACCAGCACCAGTTCTTAGAGGGATTAGGTTCGTTTCCTGATCCACCACGAGACTGGGAACGACCCCTAGGTCTCACCTGTGTATCTCGTACTCTGGTTTCTGATAATGCTTGAACTTGTTTAGAGAGGGATTCTATTGCATTTAATAAAGAAACGTTACCTGAAGAGACTTCACAAATACCAGGTGTTGAAGGAATGTCAGCTACCTCCATGATCTTATCAGCCAGTTCTGCCAGTTTGTCCAAGGAGAGCTCAAGTTGCGTAGTCAATATGGCTTGTGAATGAGGAGGGAGTCGTCTGAGCCACAGTTGACGAAGCATGTTGTCTTGAAGGGGAGTCGAGCCCGCAAGAGACCTAAGATGCCTCAAAAACTGAGAAGGCTTGCGGTCTCCAAGGTCCTCTTCACTCAGCAGCCGCCGCACACGTTGCTCTTCGGATGCAGAGAGGCGTTCAATCAGTTTCTTTTTTAGATGTCCGTATTTGTCGCCTTGAGGAGGGTTTGTTATGATGTCTTCGACTTCAGCAGCAATTCCTGTGTCCAATTGCGAGACCACGTAGTGAAACTTGGTGTCGTCGTTGGTAATTCCAGATATAAGAAATTGCGAGTCAACTTGACAGAACCACAGACTTGGTCTTTCAGGCCAAAAGGGCGGAAGTTTGACGGCTACTCTGTTCACCGACATGTTTTGAGAAGTGCTGGGTTGTCCAATCCGTTGACGCAGTTCTTCATTCGCAGTTCTAAGTTCGGCGAGTTGAGTCTGCAGGTCTTCTAATGACATCGTTCGAAGGAGGAAACACAAAAGATTTAAACTCTTCAAAGAAAATAAGTCTTTAGATAACGGTTGTAGTCGGGGTCACCATTTTGGTCGTGGTTGTTCGTGTACATAGAATAAAATTATGACCAAATAAGTAATAGAAAAGTATTTTAATAAGAGTTAATTGTGTGTACATTCCTGTAGAAAAACAAAGATCAGACTAACTTAATGCGTTGCTATGACAACGTCATCAGCTGACGCTACAGGTTCATAAATACCAAATAGAACAGTAGTAAACATTGGAGGAATAATAATCTACTAGTGTACATGTTGCTCGAATTCGAGCAATTGCAAAGTACTACAGGAGTTATTTCAAAACGAATAACAGTCATATTTACAATTAGTTTAAAAGAGTCAACTCAAAGATTACCGGTGTGTAACTCAGACCATGTTTATCTTCGTTATTGATAAACCTAAAGCATTCCGGCCGGTTTTCTCCTTCTCAAAATGCCTCGCTGTCCAGGCAACACAGGTCATTGATAGAGGACCAAATTGAGAACGAAAAGTCGTTTTGGGGTAGTGTTAGGGCGCATTTGTAACCTAATAGTTGAGATTGTCCAGGGTCAGGTGCTGACTGTGAAAAGCCTATTACGCGCCACTGTTCTCTGTAGCTGCGGTCGTTATCACGATTACGCCTCCTGTCTATGTTTCGTTGTAGTCGTGTCGGAGGCATTTAAAAGGAAAAAAAATAAATGAACAAATTATAGCTACACAAAACAACGATAAATGCACAATTTTATGTAACAATCATGCTAACACGATCCGTCAGAGCGACACAAAACAACGATAAATACACAAATTTAAGATACAACCATACTAACACGATCCGTCTTGGAGGTTATGTTTACACAAACTCAAATAGTAAATAAATGTACTCAATGCGTTTCATTGAATTGAAAAATAAATAACAGCAATTAAATTATACAGCTGATCAAAATGTAAACAATTATGTTCTTCATAAGGATAACATGGGAACTTTCAAACCCACTGGGGCAGAGCCCAAGGGACGTTTGCAAAAATGTAAGGCCAGTTTGCAAATCTACGCGACACGCCCTTTCCAATGAGACGTCAATGGATAAAATTGGTTAAGAAATGGCGGAGGAGTTCAACCGACAAAGTTTCATGTAGCGTATTAATTATATAGATTTTTAAGCTAGACATTAATTCAAGGGTGATAAAAAAATACGTTTTGGCATTCCTTGTTAGCTTAACTGAAATATAATAATATTATTGTTTGTATCAAAGAGGTAGTGTATTATCATTTTACCATAAATTATTAGCATATTTGAATTGAGTTAAAGGACATCTATACTATTATAAAGAAGAGGTGGTGTCTGTGTGTGTGTTTGTATGAGCTAATCTCAAAAACTACTGGTCGGATCGGGCTGAAATTTGGCATGATGATAGCTCACATTCCCGATTAACATATAGGCATATTTTTATCCCAAAAAATCCTTCGGGGCTCCGCCCCAGTGGCTCTGGAGTTTCCCATGTTAACCTTATGAGAAATGGAATTAATGAATCTTAACAGCTGTTTCAATTAAACAAGTTGGTTATGTTCTATGATGTTCAATAGCATTAAAAGTTACAAGGATTACCAACAGGGTGCAGCACTAGCACTATTATTTCTTTTACATTTATGACAACAGCAAAAGGTGAGTGAGCGTAGCGAACGAACTTCAACCTGGAGGCGAGTGAGCGTAGCGAACGAGCTAACCTGAAGGCAAGTGAGCGTAGCGAACGAGCTAACCTGAAGGAAAGTGAGCGCAGCGAACGAGCTCCAACCTAAAGGTGAGTGAGCGTAGCGAACGAACTTCAAAAAGAACCGAAATTTCTTAAACCATGTCCTCACTCATAACTGCTATAAGCATTTGATACTTATATGCCAACCCCGTACGAAGGACGGGTACTCTGCTAGTCTTAGATAAATATATCATGAAGGAATTTTAACAAGATGGAATGTGACAAGATTAGTAAACAAGCCGGACAAAAACACGTTAAATTGTAAATCCGGTAATGCCTGGAAACGTACTTACTATGTTGACTACTGTATTTACTATAATTTTAGTTATTTATATTATTATGATTACTATACGTATTTATTTCTTGTGTTTTATGAGTCATTTTCTTAAATTTAAATTGTTTCAGATGTATTAGCGAGGAATAACAAGTTTAAGGAGATTATAAGTCGGTAAAACTACAATACCACTTGTATACGACTGTGACCATCAAAGTCTCAACACAAATCATCTCAGCAACCGCCAACACCAGAGACGATTTACCTCATAAATTAATTATGAGTCTACCTCATAAAGCAAATTCCCACAAATGAGATCACTTCCATCTACTTCAATACAAACATTCGTGTTCCTCGTCACTCTGTGCATCCTTCAGCTTACTACTTTTAGAGTTTTCCAACCGAAGAAATGCGAATGTGATGTAAATACACCACTAGCTCCAGTTGAAAATGTTCCTGATTGGGAGAAGACTTTGAACTTTACCGGTTTCAACAACGAGACAGGAACTCCCGATGGACATTATATTATTCCCAATTATGTCCACTTCGTCAAGTTCCGCTACGACTCGTTCAACTTCATACACTTCATCTGTGTGTTGGCCGCCTTCAAGCACCAGAGGCCGGAGAAGCTGTTCATCCACACGGATGTGGAGGAGTTCCGCGGGAAATATTGGCAGATACTCCTGCAGACTCCGGGCTTCAGAGAGGTTTGTACCTCATCTTTTAGTATCTCAAGCTTTTTGATTAGTAAGTTGGTTTGATGCGTTTGGAATAATTTGTTGGGCCTCTTAATCAGTTTTAAATGTCCATGAACAGTTAGAAACTTTGATTCGTTGTAAGTGAGTTTTTTGAGTCTGAAATCATTTGTACTGGATTTAAATGAGCGTTTTGTGGCTACTAATTCTTTTTGCACCTGGACGAGTTTTTATGAGTCTGAAATGGTTCACGTCAGCTTGATATTTGTGTTATGTGTTCAAATAATATCATTTGAAAGAGGGTGAGTTTTTATCACTCCCCCAAAAGTGGTTGGTTTCAAAGCACCATTTGGACAAATTCCTTAAATGTTTTTTGTTTTATGACCAGGTGCTGATATTGAACCGCATTCAGCTGCGCCAGGAAGTGTTCGGCCAGCCTCTCAACCCGGAGTGGAGGCTGTACCATGGCGGAGACGTGGCGCGGCTGGAGATAATGAGAAAGTAAGTAAAATGCATGGTACCTACTGTGATGGATAGTGTTTTTATATTTCTGTGCCATTTTCTAGCGTATTTTTCTAAGGGACGTGCCGAAAACTTATCTCGTAACTATCTGAAGTCTACGTCAGATAAAAAAATTAATTGGTAGATTATACAAATGGCATCCGGGTCCAGAATGGAGAGATCAAAATAGAATTCTGTATTTTCTTCATTTGTATTTAATTAGCGCACTCTATGTAGCCTATGTATTACCTGTGTCTGACGTTTTATCTAGGGTATTCTCCGCAACAAAACATTTGACCTTGACCGTGATGCGGTGTAGCTCATTAGCAAAACATTTGACCTTGACCGTGATGCGGTGTAGCTCATTAAGAATATGAATGCCAGAAACGGTGCGAGCTCTGAGGGTTTAGGTCACATGTTGGCCTGACTTTAAGTAATGTGACATACAATTCCAGGTCTGTGTCCAACAGACTAGAGGAGCTTTTTTAGTGAGTAGTCTGATCTGATAAATGCAGGAGTTGCACACTACCTGTATGCGTAAAAGCATTTTCCCTCCTTTCCCTTGGCAAAAAAAAAAACAAAAAAAAAACAAAAAAAAAACACAAAAACAAAAAATACTATGTACGTCCGGCTGCCTAGGTACTGGGAATGCATTTCTTGGAAGGGCATTTCAAAGAGTATATTGCACAAAATGTGTTCATTAGGTTTTTTGAAAGTTATAGAAATATCATTTTCGAGATAACTTTCAAGATACCAGAAGCAACAGTACCTACACATTATAGTTCGTACCCTAAAATATTAATTTCAATACAACCACTTTGCAATGGTTCTAAAAATCTAGGAGTTCTATTTTGTTAGCATGTTCAGGGTTTCAATGTGAAAAAACATAATTTTATTTTACTGGGATTTAAAAGTTGAAGTAAATCCAAGCGATCAGATACTACGTTTGATGTATTGAATAGTGAAAATGCATTCGAAGTGTTGTGCTTAGTATTGTTCCAAAAACACACGTGGTCTAGGTCTAACCCACCAAAAATAGACAAACCTCTCCAAATGTCAAGAGAGAGGTACGTTATGATTCTATACAAACACTCGCAATGCAATTGTTCAGATATGGCGGCATTTACGTAGACAACGACTCCTACCTGATTCGTAGCCTGGACGACCTGAGGAGGTACGAGATGGTAGTGGCCTGGAGACCTGGCAAGGCGATGATGAACCAAGTGGTTTTGGCTCACAAGGATGCAAGACTTTTAAGGGAATGGCACGAGGGATACCGGGTGAGAAAACATGGTACATTCAGATTGTGTAAGTTTAAGCGCCTTGGTAACTTAGAGGACACGCTGGCTTCAGAGCCTGAAGAAGTCTGGGTAATTTTCCACCAAATCTCTCTGATGTGGATATTATAAAACTATTTTGATGACAGTTGTCAAATCGAGAAGGCATTAGAATAACATCTTCAGAATAATATGTATTATTGTATTGAATTAATCCTCCTCAATTCGACATCCACCATCCAACCAGTTTTTTAATCTCTACCGGCAAAATATTATTTGGCGGAAAATTACCTAAACTTCTTCAGCCATTGGGAACCTCTGAAGTAGGCCCTAAGTTACCAACACGTATTTGTTTGGCGGAACAAATAAAAGAGCTGTGAGTTAAGAGTTTTCCATGTCTCTTACCTTAGGGGCAGGTGAGTCAGACTGTCTTCCGTTCATTCAGCTCCTTGATTTTTATCATGGATAATTTCGATTTTGATACTTCAACTATGACTGGACTTTGTCTTTGGACTGAAACTAGTTCAAAACGTGGTAGAAGTGTATTTTGCACAGTTAAAACCATGAGTTGAAATGAAAATTTGATTAAGCTCCCCGTAATAGATTGGGGAAGTTCATTGAAAGTCATAAGGGAAACATAAGAGACAATTAGAACATAAGAGGAGAGATTAAGTTCAAAAGAAGCAATTCATACCTGTGTAGCTAGTGTTATCAGTCTAGTAACTGACTACTTTCATAAGAGCAAAGCTTTAGGTAATTGTATGTCCAAAACAGAGATAATTGGCATACTACCCCCATCGATCTCTATTATAGAGATCGATGGCTACCCCCCCCCCATGCCAGTACCATACCAACAATCGGCACACCCCGAATTGGCCAATTGGCAATATACCAATTGGCATACTGTAATTGGTACTTAACCCCTTGGAAACAACTCATCGGGATAGTAATTCATATAAAATTCAACAATGTAAACCTTAGAATAGGGAAATAAATAGCCTATAAGCTATCATCTGGTTTATTTATCTTTGAAAATCACTTTTTGTCCTCAATGTAATTTTCCATCCTTCCTAGGACTACAAGCCGGAGCACTGGTACTACAACGCGGGTAGACAGCCAGCCAACGTCCTTCTGGAGAAGCCCTACCTGGCACACTCTCTCCGCGACCTCCTCGGCACCTACGACATCCGGAAGAAGATCTACACCACCAAGTGGGACTCCTGGAAGACCTACTACTCCTGTCACCTGATGTCACGATGGATGGAGAACTTCCGAGGAGTCCGCTACCCAAACCCCATCACAGAGAAAGATGTCCTCCGGTACGACAACACGTTGCAGGAGATGGTACAAGATGTGTACGATGTACGGGGAGTGAAACAAGTGTGATTGGTCCCGGAGTCTCAAGTTTTTAAAAGAAGAGTGTTTGAGTTTCAAGTTAACAATGATGGTTTGTGTTGAAATGTTAAACGCATCATTTTTCAGCTTTGACTGAATATTGGGTTTGATTTGGCAGTAGTTTGTTGGTCGGACTAAAATAGAAAGGAGAGTCCGTTGAATCTGTGGCTCTGAGGAGAAGGTTTTTAGGCCGCAGTGAGTATAACTGTAGACAGTGAATGAACGTTGATACTCATAAATAGGACTTCTGGGTGTAAATTAAGATTGTATTTCAGAGCTTACCAGAACTGTAAAGATTTTTGATATGAGGTTAATGATTGAGTTTTGAAGGACAGTTAATACTACCCTTTGATGTAGTCATTTTTTCTTATGGTCATTAAAGTATTTTTTTTTTACCTTGTAAAACGTTATCATTTTCTGATTTAGCTGCAATCTGAATCTCCATACCTAATATTTTATTTACACTAAAAGATTTATTTTATTTGATGAAATACAAATTAAAAAATAATTGTACTGAAAGCAATAGACTATAGGCTATAGGCTATATGCTATAGGCTATAGGCTATATGCTATAGGCAATAGGCTAATATGCTCTGCCTATGTCACAGTTTCACTAAATTTGTATCGTTTTCCAACAATATGGACAACGCTATAGTGTTGCAGTTTACTAAATCAGTTCAATTTAAGGTAGTACCTCGTGGCTAGAAAGTCTGAAACGAAGGGGGCATTAGCATTTTGACTTAACACACTTACAGTTACTTAGTTGCTAATTCGTATTTGTTCATTTGAAGACTCAACAGATAGTCCAAGTACAAGGCGTGACTACTTCAGTATCGAAAAGTCAATGCTTTTAGTTAAAATGCCTAATCCACATTGTCTGTGACTTCCACCGTAAGGCACCGTGAGATTTGTATATGCTACCTTCGCATTCTAGAAGCAGTTTTAAACACGATACATTGGTGATTGGCAGGACGTGAACCTAAGACCTCAGGAACAGAATCCCCACGCTATACCACTCAGGCCCTCCAACATTGCAAAGATCCAAGCATAGTCTCATAGAAACAAAAAAATACTTAAGACATTTTATTTTACAAACTTAACAAAACAATAAAGATCTAGAAGGTCTGCTGGCTGGGTGGGTTTGCCGGGGGTGCGACAGGGAGGACGTCACCGACGGGGTGGAAGCCGTATTCGTCAGCTGTGTAGGAGACACTGACTGGTTTACCCTCGGGGGAAGTGTAGGCGAAGCTCCCCGACTTGCCTACGACGACGCCGGTGCGGTCATTGGTTGGTCTGAGGAACCCGCTCTCCTGGACTAGGGCTCCATCCCCGGTCTGGAAACTGGAAAATGACAATGTTGATAAAAGCTAGCCTGGAGAGGGACGGGTTCAATCCACAGTATATAAAAAAATATGAGCGGTTTGGACCACTTTACCTTAAAAGCGCAATATGTATGGCTTGTATGTTTTTTTTTACTTTCTTCCCTTATACAACCCGTATAAGTTTACACCATACGCTTTAGGTTTAAAATTAAGCTTCAAAAGTTATTGGAACTTGTTGTTTCCCACAAAAACCTGGGAAAAGCAGAAAAAATGAATAAAAAACTGTTTAACCGTTCCATTGATGTCAATTACGGTTCGAAAGTTAGTGCAAATTTTGTTATTTCCCCCAGAAAATATCATAGTTACTACCACAGCTTACCCATGATAAAGGTTGTTTATGGGAGGAAGTATGTGTCAGGTTTCTGATAACGTTTATTGGTGATTATCTAAGCAATTGCTATTATTTAAATTTTTTAAGCGGACGGTCCAAATAGCGCTTTTGTTTACCGTTTGGATGTCTTGTTAGACAGTATTATTAATTCGTATCCAATGGCAAATAGCATTTAGGTCACAACCGATCTTACTTTAAATCGAACAAAGGACTTTAAAATTTGAAGTTGAACTCTATAATCAATAATCGTATAATCAGGCTACCTAGACATTACATTTAATAGCTACAAAAATTCCATTTTGAATCATTACTATTCTTTTATTAATCTAAGTTGCAGTTTTACTAACTGATCAAGTCACACTTATTTGTTTAGCGCATTGATGTTCATTTTCCTGAAGGCAGAGGATACACGTCCGGTAACCAGACGTGGATTAGACGTCCGGCAATTACTGTCATAACCTAACCTAACCAACCAAACTTGCTGATAATGAAAAAATCGAATTAAGGTTAAATTCTTTCTCTATTAAAAAATTATAAATGCCAAAAATTCTAATTAAAGATGTACAGTTAAGAATAAATGGTATTCAATGCAAAATCTTCGACAAAAAGTTAATGTCACCAAAGGGACCTGAACCCTGGACCTCTTGCATATCAGCCGAGCACCTTATCCACTACACCACGACCACCGATAGCTGGTGATGGTATTGTTGTAATAAAGGCGTTCCAGGCTCCCGCAACCCTATGACGTCATTGCCGTACGCCTTATCCACGTCCGGTTACCGGACGCGTATCCTCTATGTTTCCTGAAATTACGTTAAGTTAGGTATAAGAACTTAAAATAAATAGTAATGATTTTGGGCGAGAGTTAACCGATTTAGAGAGTTCTATAGATGGACCTGATGGACTACAAACCACCGAATCATGATATTGACGCCCATTGATGATTGGTGGAGCTTTAACCCCTCTAGCCAAGCCGTAGGCTGTCCCTATTTTGACAAAACACACTACACAAACTAACCTCACAATCAATCTCTGGTCCCAGAATATACATAATTATGTGTTTACACAAATATTTTTGGATTATTGAATAACACAAATACCAGACATCCCATTAGGTTGTCGTGTTGTGAACCAGGTCCACCAGCACTAGTGTTTTCATCTTTTGGCCTTGAAGTGTCTTCTTAGACATCGGAATCTTTGTTTGTTGCAGCTTTCACTCCGCTCGACCTTCAGACTTAACTTTTACTCTAGTTTTATTTTAGCCCGGACGGCTTAAGGGGATGAAATGAGAGGATGTTAATTAGGGTTTATGCATTTTAAAGAGAATATAAGCGCTTGGGTGGTATTATTCGAGACCACAACGTTTTTGGGGCTTCCAGTGACCACTCAGACGTGTCCAGCGTTTAAATATTTAATTTCTACATAATAACAAGTTTTAAGAATAACGAAAACCTATAATAAATTTTATATGATTTGTTTATTGTCAAGGTAGCTGATGACAGTGATCACCTTCAAATATGAAGTTTGCTAGTTCTATCCCAGGATTCTGTAACTAGATGCGATTTGTAATTGGGTATCATAAATGCTAGAACAGGGTTTTTGGGCCGTTCCTATAGAAAACGTAACCGTTCCCATAAATTTTAAGAAAACCTTATAGTGTTAAAACCACAAAATGCTGATTTCAAGTTTAGACCTCAATCTAGTTACTGTACATTTTGATATAAATTCAAATCACTTCAATTTCAAACTATGCTTCATTACTTAAAATTTGTTTAAATTAAATTGTGCGGTAGAGGTTGAATTTTCCACACCAAGTAAAATAGGTGATATGTGTATTATACACTCCAATCATCAGAACTAATAGGTAACGATCCCGAATAGGTCTATTAATGTTACTTTGACAATCTTATTTGGTCTATTATTGTAAAACAACAAGCATTGAATTTCGTTGGATATTCATAGCATAATAGCGTTAGTTTCATAAACTGGTCAGCTCATTTAGAATATTACAACAATATGCAAATTTAACAAAAGCTTCTAAAATAATTCTGCCATATATAAATACGTTAGAATGCTGCGCTAGTCAAGTAAACAATGATGATTTTGAATAATAAAAAATTGTTAACATTATGGTGATGATAAAATAAATAACAATATACATACTATAGCCTATATGTCATAGTTGTAATAAGTTATTTTAATTATACTAACAAATATGTTTTAGTAGAGTACGTACCTTGATCTATACACTCCGGACGGATCGGAATCGTAACTCCTCGAGAGTGTGGGGACGAACCTGTAAATATTGAAAAAAAACATTAGGACTTAAAATATTGATCGCAAAATACTCTTTTTGAAGTAAGGAAAAAGGATAAAACACACTTAAGTTTCACTCAACACACACAATGCCCTAAAATATTGGTAGGGTGTTCTAAAACAACCTGTATGTGCAGGTGTTATTTGTATTTTGAAAATATTTATGTTATTTGGGTCAAAAATGGAAATTGACTTTTTCTTATGGAGGTTTAACATGAAGCCAAATGTTTAAGCTTACGACAGCCCACACGACAAATATAACTTCCAAGTTTAAGTTTAAATTGATGTAGATAATTTTTGTACGCAAACACACACAAGTTCCTACAATTTGATATTTTTTTTTTAGCTATATTGTGGTGTTTCCTTAACATTTAGTTTTTGACGATTGATGTGTTGAAGTATAGTAATAACTGTGTCCGTTATATTCATTTTCTAAGATAAAACTCGTAATATTAAAATAATATAAAAGAAACTGGCATTTTAAAGTAACTAACTTTGCTCACACATTCAATGTATTTCTTAAGGACTGTTTACACCGTATTTAGACGTTTTTGTAACACCCTCACTGTTATTTAAATGAGGGTGTTCACACTAGCGTATAAATACACCGAATACATCTGAGCAGACTTCTGGCTACGTCGGTGTGAACAGGCCTTAAGGGTGCAAAGCAATCCGCAAGCTTTTACAAATAATATGCAGTGGTGTTATCAACCATAAAAAGTTCTAATACGGTATCCCTGACATGAAATAATAAATATTATTTCTAAATTAGGTTAATGTAATGTAGAAATTACCTGTACCTAAATACCTTAAATTTACCTTAAATACATAAATTTCTTTTGGAAATAAATAAATAAAACTCTTATGGAATAGCTTAAATTAAATTAATGGTATTTTGGTGTAATAAATATTATAAAATAACTAATGGACTTTTCTTGCATCCCTTGCATCTCAATTAAATAATGAATAAATAATTCTACTAATTTTACATGCAAAGAAACATGCTATTACAAGGATTGAACTGAGGTAACAAATAATTTAATAAAATATTTCACTTCTTAACTCCATGCAATTGTTCAACACATGATATTTAGAGTACTAGCTAATTAGTTTTTCTCTCAATAGTAGTGATAAAGGCTAATAAAAAATAAAAAAATAAGTCAACCCTTGCAGATAATAAATAAAAGTTAATGAATAGTAAAATATATTTACTATATATTTACTATAACATTTACTATATATTTACTACATATTTACTATATATTTACTATAACATTTACTATATATTTACTATATACTATTAATTAAGTACTTAATTTACCTTTGGGGTAGACACAGGGCTGTTCCAACTACAGCGAGAATAACGACGGCTTGTATATGGACCATGGTGATGTCTTGTAGATTCTTGTCCTCCTGTCGTCCTAGCACCTCTGGCCCTGTAGTGTGTGTGGGACAGAGGATGACAATATGCTATATATGTATCTGATAAACAGCTGATGTCCTTGCCAATCCCACGATTGTCAGATGCCAGTTTCGTAACGCTACAAATTATTTACGAGTATTTTTATTTCTCGGCAAGAATTGGCCGCCGGGCGGATCGTATTTGTATTACTTTCCGCCAAGATACAATCTGTAGAGCTATTTTGAGAGTGATTATTCGAATTTTCTGCTTTAAGTGTTAGTTTTGGACTGAGTTTAACCAGTTTTGGAGGAGTACAGGGTTATATTTTCGCTTTTAAGTTTATGTTGCAAAGTAGTAGAGTAGTTAAAATTAACATAGTTCGTCGTTGATAAGGTAAAATCTATTTATACAGTACCTCAAACCCTGATTTTGTCGGTAGGTGTTGCCTAAAAGTGCGTGAATATGTGTATCATTTTTCTTTAGTTTGAATGCCAAAAATATTGAATCCGAAACGGCTGGGCTGTTATTTTACACAATGCATATTATACACCTGTCCATTACATAGGCCGGTATTTGTGTCTGTAAACGTTCCTCAGTCTACTCTGCATTAACGTAGACATTTTTAAAGGAGATTTGATAAAATCAAAAGTATTCAATTTATTGGCCACGACAGTAAAAATAAAACCAGTTCTGTTCGCTATTACAATAATTCCATTTATACCTTTAAAATACCTACATTCGTATGGTCACCATAAAAATACAAATTAATTACTTTAAATTTAGACAAAAGAAGTAGCAATCAACTAGCACCGTTCTTCGGTAATTTATTATTTTGCGTGTATTTGTCATTATTTGGTAACTAATGTGCATTATTTAACATTTGTTCTAGACTACTCTGTAGGCCTACACATTCCTTGGTGTTCACATACCTTTTTATGGCTGTTTGTAAAACTAAAATTGGGTTTAGGATCTAAGATTTACACCTGTTATGGCTTATGTAGGTCTTGAGATTTCACATGGGATAAAACAAAATTAATTGATCTAACATGTTGTAAACTGCCACCCTTATATTTTTCAAGGTAATTGCTTTTGAAAACCAACCAGAGTTCATGTAAAATAACTAACATGAAATTTCACAGTGGAAAATATCATTCGACTAAAAGTGTAGGCTATACGCATTACTTGGCAAACTCTTTTATTATTTATACTGGGTGCAGAAATAACGTACTAATCTTATTTTCCACTAGTAAGTCTATTTTTACTTTTTTTGCACATGTAACGAAAGTGTAATCTAGCAGATATATAAAATTAAGAGTATTTTAACACCTAATAGCACACTCTAGAGCTTTTAGTAACACCGTCTGTGTGTTTTGGGGTGCTTTTAAAAGGAAAGTACGACAGGGAATTTAAAAGGGGAAAATTTGATCTTACAACTTAATTAACATGAGGCACGGCTTCATTACCAACCCTCTCCAGCATTATGTGAGGGTGGTTAGAATGAAATGGGAGACTGTGAGCTTTCAACCCCTTAAACATCTGTAAATACTCGTAGATCTGGCGAAGTATATTATCCAGGAATACGTAAAGATGTGTGTATCTAAACAGCTAGTAGGCAGCATACAATAAACTAAAAATACCAAAATATCTGTGGTTGATCGGTAAGTTCTGTTACCTGAACATCTATTTGAGTTTTGTTCTGACTAAAATAGTAGTTTACGCAACGATACACTATTTACGCGAGTTGTGTACACTTCTTTACCTACGAAAAGGTTTTAATTACTAAAAATCACTACTCATGGCTTCTAAGAGAGGTTATGTTTTCGTTTATAACCTCTCATTGCCACTGACAGTGATGCAACGAAACATCGAACCAAACACTTGCACCGCTTGCACCACTCAACAATTGGCCTGAACAGCTGATTAGTTGAAGTTCGAATCATTACAATCCGATAATGGAACAATTCAATACGATGGACAGGCTAAGTAAAAACATAGATCAAACCATTGACTATTGGATACAGAAGATCAAACATACTCCCTTATAGATTTCTCATCCTTATGGAACAGCTGAAGGCTGAAGCCAATTTTATTGTTACTTCTGTACGGTGCACTGTAGAGGTCATGTTTTGTTTACAATTTGTTTCTTGTTATTTCAGTAATTTAAAACCTCGTTTAACCAAATAATACGATCTAATCATAAACAATAACTCGTCCTCTAGTCATATAACCAAACAGTAAAGCTGAAATCATGAAATCTACCTTAAAATAATACAAACAAAATTTCGTCGACACTAGCGGCCAGTGTCACCGTACATGAACTAGACACGAAAAACAAACTTCAAAATTTACAATGGGATGAGAAGTCCACTTGTGTTGGTTAGTCTACAGCTACTTATATTTTAATCTACTAACATGATTAAGCATTGTGTATATTTATTGATGAAATATCTAATACCAGACGAATGGGGACTGAGAATAACGTCTAATCAGATAGTCCCGAATACAGCTATTGCTGACTTCATCTATTGTTTACATGGCACTAAATGATCAGTTTGATCGTTGAGAACTGTTGACGCCCTAGAAATGTACAAGATCCATGTATTCACTATCTGTTAAGTAAATCAAGCTAGCGACATAGCCATGAATTGTATTCTAGAAGTATTGATCTAACACAAATCGGAATCAGATTTGTTAGTGTTTAATGTTATGGAACATTGATTACATTTCCCTTAAATAGCAAAGAATTGGAATTTAAAGTTTTGTTACAATTTTTTACATAGCCTATGGAAAATTTTAACTTGTTTAAAACCAACTAAGCTTATTGTATTTGTACTATTAAATCCCTTTACAGGAATTTAAAACATCCAATCATATTTTTTACATTCCAGCTTGTCATATTTTCCACAACCCAGAATATAAATTCAACTGAGAAGCAGGTAGAAGCAGTGCGAGCCTGGAGGCCTATTCATATTCATCTGAACGTGTCAGATCTTGCAATACTGTTATGTATACAACTCAGGGGGCCTAAAGAATGCAAATAGAGACAAATGTGCCCCTAGCGACCCCCGACTGTACTAATGTTGGGGGAGACTCCAACCTTTTGATGGGATTTATTTTCGAGTATTTTACCGCTAAGGATATGCTACACAAAGTGTTATGCATACCAGAAATATTGGTCGAAAACATGTTTCTTGTTTCATTAATAAAATAGATTTTAGTCCACAACCGTGTGTTTTCAGCTGTTCCGAGAGGTCATGAACGAACGAAAGTTGCTTTTACGGGCTGAAAATAACTACTTTTGCTCTTATGGACGGAAGTAAAAACTATACCCAAAAGTTCCGACCCAAAGGTTAATGGTAACAGCCCTGAGTAACTGTATTATTCGTATTGTTGTAGTTGCTTATCAACTATTAAAAATTCAATACATTAAATTGAGGAGTTCAATCTGTTTGAAATATGTCATCCTTATGGATCAGATAAAGACAATTTTTAAGTATGTTTCATTCAGTTTATGTGGAGGGCCTCTTGTTGTTTACAATTGATTTGTTTTGTGTCACTTGTCAAATGTAAAACTATTTCAACTTTGAACCAATACAAAATATTAAGTCCTAGAACATCGATAGCCAATCTATCATTAGTATTACAGAATAAGACTTGTTTTCAAAGTTCGAGGTTTGCAATAACATGTTATTAAGGTATTTGAAAATGACACTTGTTATCAGAAGCCACGTGTAATTGATGTTACACTGTATGCGATTTACGTTCAAAGTTCTATTTTTATACTACGTGTTTATTCTCTATTTTCTGTGTTCATGCGGTGGGATTAAAAACCAGTTCTAAACCAATCAAGATTGGATACACGACCTTAGAAGTAATTCCTGAATAATTTGCATATAATTTCCTATTTAAAAAAAAGTTGAAAAAGTGAGCCACCTAAAACATTCAAACACATATATTATTTGAATGGAAGATGAAACCATTGTATTCATTGGTGATACTGAGAACATATGTTGATTATGTAAATAGGTAAATGGTAGAACTATAGCATATAGGGGTGATGTGAGCAATGGCAACATGAATACTAATAACCGAAGGTGCACATATGGCAGTAACGGTAATGATAGCACCACTTCATAGTGGAATGCGCTTATTACATATGTTACATGACACCATTGCGTCCCATGCCGATGATATTGGGTTGTCGGATTAATAACTTCTTAATCAGCATTATACGTTTTATTAATTTTATGGAAAGTAAATAAAAATACGTCTAATAACACACGAAATAATATAATGTCCCTTTTATAAACATCAAGAAGTATTTTGACCTGTGAAGAAAACATCTAAATTGGGTGAGATCACTCCTGTAAAACCTTTACCTGGAAGCCATTAGAACATTTTTGGGCTATAACTTTTTGAACTTTCATACTAAATTTTAACATAAAAAAAAAACTATTTGAAGCCTATTCCAGAACATAAAATTCACCTAGAAGAAGAATTCTAAGTAATAAATTGTTTCAGAACCAAATTTAAACTTTTAATCCTTGTGTGAAGATTGCCTATCCCTTAATTATTACATCAACCAGAAAATTGAACAGTCAACTTGATCTCAAGTTCAAGTCATAATCTGCTAGGCCTACTGAGTATTTATTACAACTTATTATACTAAATATTTAATTCTCCAGGACTATTGAATGTTTAATAACCAAATAATGAAATCACAATATTAAATTCTGACGCCGCCCGATCACCCCAACCTGAGATTCAGAGTAGATGTAACAAACCCCTGATAACATCGCATTAGCCTATAAGCTTAAGGGGGTGTTACCATACGCCCTATGGTAACAAGGCAAAATTAGCAACCTTAATGTCCCATTTGCTTAATAACCACTAGAGCTGATTTTTTTTAAAGGTCAGTTTGTACTGTCAGTTTTCATGCTTTTGTATAAAACTGGTACCAAAGTTATTTACTTTTAATAAGATTTTTATGTCTGTTTTTTTTTTTTTCAAAAACATACCTTAAATTTCACTTTTTTGTGTGAATAAGTGGCAGTTGAATTTTTTTTTAGGTAGAGTATATTAATAAATTTGGTACCACTTCTGTGAAATAGCTTCAAATATATTCTGTAAAAATTTCATGGTTCTATATATTTTAGTTCCTGAGAAAAGGGGACATATGTATTACCGGTACAAAAAGTCGTTTTCTGGGAAACGGACTTTAAAGTCAAGATCACTAGATTACTTATTACTTAATGAAAAGATTCCGAGTAAGGTTTCATTTAAATAAATATTTCTAAGGTTAGGATTTTTTATAACTATAAATAAGGTGTAATTTTGTTCAGAAATAACAGGCTTTAAGGCTAAACATCCCTAAAAAAGTTGTGTTTCTGGCCCGATAGATAGCAGCACCTCTGCGGCAAATTTGTACTACAGTACTAATAATTTCCGGATTTATGATCAGATTTTTGTTTTATAACCTGTTTTGTAAATGATATGAATAAGACAATCACGCTTTCCTGACAATGTTTAATTAATTAACAAAAAAGTGTTATGAAGATTTTTTATATAATATTTTTTTATCGCAGGTAGTCATTTTGTAAATACAAATTTTAAAAAAAATTGCCGTTTTCAGATATTAATTTGGTCAAATGGTCGTATCGGAATAGTTTTTTAAAGATTATCATTATTTCTCTCGCGCTCGGGTCCCCTCCACCCGTCACGTAGCGCACCGCTCAGCCGCTCTGGCCGGCCCTGCAACGCGTCTGTAGCTTCGTCATCTCAACTCACAACTCGCATTCATATTCATACACTGGCCGGACACACAACTAGACTGGACTACTGATTTCGACAGATGTTTGTTATCATTAACAAGTATTTTCAGTAAGTCGGAAGGAGACATCTAGAATAAATATAGAAAAATATAACTTACAGTAGTTCAAAATAAAGGATTTATTAAAGTAGGCCTATACAGGTTTATTGGTCCATATATTATTCAATAACACCAGGGTATGAATAATATTACCCTATACTAACCTGTAACGTTTAATTATTACATAGTTAGTTATTTGTTTAAATTAAAACTCATATTTTAATACATGAAAACGTGAAAAATATACAAAGAGTAGTAAAAAAATATCACAAGTGACAGTCATAAAATGGACTGCTTCAATAACCTATATAAATAAAATTAGAGTTTTGTCTGTACATTGCTCAGAATTATATATTTTTAGGTTATTTTTAAGTTTTATACAAGACAAGTTTTTCTTACATGACGGATTTAATTAATCGCAAGTGAAATGTTTAACCGTAAATGAAATTAAATAACTAGGCATCATCCAGGTCAGGAACCAGAGATTCTTTGTGTATAAAACTGTTCTTGAATTTTGATAACCGGGAAGAAGACCTTAAATCAGTGTTGTATACGGCTGGGAATCTTACATTTATTAGTCGCCAATAGCTTACAAACAAAATTTCCACTCATTGAGCTATCAATGGCGGTTGTGTAAAGTGTAAAGTAAAAAATCACAACTGAAGTGGGTGATTGTATTGTAACAGACGTTTACGGAGGATGCTAAACTTGTTTTTCCAATGTGTCACTTTCTGTTTCTACTCACCGCTATGTGACGCAATCACTGTATTTCAAGAAGTCCACAGTAGCTGCATGACTTTTCTGTCATCATGCATGGAGACAAGAATCCACAACGATCATAAATTTGTGCAATCAAACTGAGCACTTTACGTTTAGTGGGAGTTTCACAAGTGAAATGGAAATTATATAAATAAATAAATAAAAAGGCTTTTATTTGCAAGCGAGTTTCATATACATGTTTTTCAAACTTACTCAAGTCAAACTAAAACTAAACTAAACTAATATATAGAGAAATATAATATACAAAATAACTACAAAGAAAAAACATTTACAATTCACAATTTGTTTTTCTGCATTGCGGCACTGAATGAGCCATATGATTTGGAGCTCTTTATGTCCCGAGGGAGGCCATTATACAACTGCGGGCCAAAATAAGAAAATGACTTTCTTCCAACCTCAGATCTCCCCCCCCCCCCCTGTACTTAAGCTTCTCGCTGAGGTACCGAGGCTCTCCCAGCGTGAGCACTTTGTGGACCAGGCAGCAGGTCAGCCTCCTGCACATGTCATCCATTAGGATGAGCTTTGCAGCATCTCGGAAGGAGGACACGTGGTCAAAGCGATTAAGGCCAAAAATGAACCTTATAGCAGAATTTTGAATTCTTTGAACTCTTGCCATATCCTCCTTAGAGATCCTGTTTCCATATGCAGGAAAGCAATATGTAAAGGCTGGGAGGACCAAGGACCGCATGCGTTGCATTTTGGCATATTCCGGCAGTAGAGTTTTAAATCTGCTAAGACCTCTCAGTCTACCCACTGCGCGTTGAACTGCAGATGTTACATGGTCAGAAAAAGAGAGGTCTTTGTCAAGTACAACACCAAGCGTGTTGACAGTGTCGCAAACAGACAATCTCATGCCATCAAGGGTGACTTCTATAGCAGATTTACTCAATTCCTGCATCATAATGTTTAGTCCAGTATGCATGACTACACACTTGTTAACATTCAATCCAAGGCCATTCATGACAGACCATTGAAAATGCTGTGCAAATCAGCATTGATGAGCCGGATTGCTTCTGATGTCTTGTCTGGCTTGTATGACAAGTGTAGTTGGCAGTCATCAGCATACAAGTGTGTCGTACAATATTCTACACTTCTGGACAAGTCAGACGTGTACAACTTGAAAAGCACGGGTCCTAAACAACCACCTTGAGGAACACCACGCAATTTGCAAAGCGGATCTGATGTCTCACTCCCAATTTTGGTAGCCTGCAATTTTGCTATTTGGGACTCCAAATAGGACCGAAACTGTGACGTTCTCTCTCTCAAGTGAGGTCCGGGTGCTGCTGGTAGCTCAGTGCTTGCTGGGTATCTGTTCCAGGGGTCGAAACAACGGGAAGCAAAGGAATGGCTCAGATTCGTGGCACACCAATTTTCAAACAGCCTATGTCATCACAGCCACAAAGGAAAGGTTGTGGATAAGGAACTTGTAGGATGTCTGAATTAGTGCTAAGCTTCCAACTAACAGGATCTATGATTATGCTAAGATTACTCTAGCAGGAGCGGGTTGAGTGCTAAGATTTCTCTAGCAGGAGCGAGTTGAGTGCTAAGATTTCTCTAGCAGGATCGGGTCGTTTGCTAAGATTGCTCTAGCAGGAACGGGTCGTGTGCTAAGATTGCTCTAGCAGGAATGGGTCGTGTGCTAAGATTGCTCTAGCAGAAACGGGTCGTGTGCTAAGATTGCTCTAGCAGGATCGGGTCGTGTGCTAAGATTGCTCTAGCAGGAACGGGTCGTGTGCTGAGATTGCTCTAGCAGGAACGGGTCGTGTGCTAAGATTGCTCTAGCAGGAACGGGTAATGTGCTTAGATTGCTCTAGCAGGAATGGGTCGTGTGCTAAGATTGCTCTAGCAGGAATGGGTCGTGTGCTAAGATTGCTCTAGCAGGAACGGGTCGTGTGCTAAGATTGCTCTAGCAGGATCGGGTCGTGTGCTAAGATTGCTCTAGCAGGATCGGGTCGTGTGCTAAGATTGCTCTAGCATGAACGGGTCGTGTGCTAAGATTGCTCTAGCAGGAATGGGTCGTGTGCTCAGATTGCTCTAGCAGGAATGGGTCGTGTGCTAAGATTGCTCTAGCAGGAATGGGTCGTGTGCTAAGATTGCTCTAGCAGGAATGGGTCGTGTGCTAAGATTGCTCTAGCAGGATCGGGTCGTGTGCTAAGATTGCTCTAGCAGGAACGGGACGTGTGCTGAGATTGCTCTAGCAGGAATGGGCCGTGTGCTAAGATTTCTCTAGCAGGAACGGGTCGATGCTAAGATTGCTCTAGCAGGATCGGGTCATGTGCTAAGATTGCTCTAGCAGGAACGGGTCGTGTGCTAAGATTGCTCTATTAGGATCGGGTCGAGTGCTAAGATTGCTCTAGCAGGATCGGGTCGAGTGCTAAGATTTCTCTAGCAGGAACGGGTCGAGTGCTCACCTTACAATCGAAGTGTACTGGTCAGCTGCCCGGGAGCGAATGAGAATGATGTCCCGAGCAGCCCTCCTTTTATGCGAAAACCTGGTCAGCCTGGTGGGGGTAGTCCGCGCATGCGCACTAGTCCTGAAATGGTTAGTCATGTCTTGGACTTTTAGGGGTGAGGATCGGACAATCTATTTGCATTGGAAATTGATTTTTGGGAACATTTTGAGGTTATGTTTGGCTGAACAGGTTTGGACAGGAATGGAAACTGCTGAATGGTATCGGTGGTATCAGGGGGCGACGTAGGGTGATAGAAGGTGATGTAGGATAGGAGAAGGAGACGTGTGGGTAGGGGGAGGTCGAGGAATGTATCGGAAGGAGACGTGACGTGTTGGAAGGCGACGTGGGGCTACGGAAGGAGACGTGGAGTGTTGGAAGGAGACGTGGGGTAAGGGGAAGGTCGGACGATGTAACGGAAGGAGACGCTGGGTCGGGGAGGGCGACGTGGGACTGCGGAAGGAGACGTGTGGAGTGTTGGAAGGATACGTGTGGTAAAGGGAAGGTCGGAGGATGTAGCGGAAGGAGACGCTGGGTCGGGGAAGGCGACATGAGGCTGCGGAAGGAGACGTAGCGTGTTGGAAGGAGACGTGTGGTAAGGGGAAGGTTGGAGGATGTAGCGGAAGGAGACGCTGGGTCGGGGAAGGCGACGTGAGGCTGCGGAAGGAAACGTGGAGTGTTGGAAGGAGACGTGGGGTAAGGGGAAGGTAGGATGATGTTTCATATACATGTTTTTCAAACTTACTCAAGTCAAACTAAAACTAAACTAAACTAATATATAGAGAAATATAATATACAAAATAACTACAAAGAAAAAACATTTACAATTCACAATTTGTTTTTCTGCATTGCGGCACTGAATGAGCCATATGATTTGGAGCTCTTTATGTCCCGAGGGAGGCCATTATACAACTGCGGGCCAAAATAAGAAAATGACTTTCTTCCAACCTCAGATCTCCCCCCCCCCCTGTACTTAAGCTTCTCGCTGAGGTACCGAGGCTCTCCCAGCGTGAGCACTTTGTGGACCAGGCAGCAGGTCAGCCTCCTGCACATGTCATCCATTAGGATGAGCTTTGCAGCATCTCGGAAGGAGGACACGTGGTCAAAGCGATTAAGGCCAAAAATGAACCTTATAGCAGAATTTTGAATTCTTTGAACTCTTGCCATATCCTCCTTAGAGATCCTGTTTCCATATGCAGGAAAGCAATATGTAAAGGCTGGGAGGACCAAGGACCGCATGCGTTGCATTTTGGCATATTCCGGCAGTAGAGTTTTAAATCTGCTAAGACCTCTCAGTCTACCCACTGCGCGTTGAACTGCAGATGTTACATGGTCAGAAAAAGAGAGGTCTTTGTCAAGTACAACACCAAGCGTGTTGACAGTGTCGCAAACAGACAATCTCATGCCATCAAGGGTGACTTCTATAGCAGATTTACTCAATTCCTGCATCATAATGTTTAGTCCAGTATGCATGACTACACACTTGTTAACATTCAATCCAAGGCCATTCATGACAGACCATTGAAAATGCTGTGCAAATCAGCATTGATGAGCCGGATTGCTTCTGATGTCTTGTCTGGCTTGTATGACAAGTGTAGTTGGCAGTCATCAGCATACAAGTGTGTCGTACAATATTCTACACTTCTGGACAAGTCAGACGTGTACAACTTGAAAAGCACGGGTCCTAAACAACCACCTTGA